ACTGACCCCTTCCTTAATGCCATCTTATTCTACTTTCTGTTCTTTTTCTGTTTTTCTTCTTTTAAAAATGATACACACAATCACCCTGGGGTTTTAAGATTTCTTACTCAGTGGTAGACATTGTTTTTATTTCTCCCTGTAACTCATTCAGTTTTCATTAAAAAATTAAGAATCAAATGGAAAATGGTGCATGGGCATAAAATAGCAATTTGTGCCAGAAGAAACAGAAGAGCACACCAACATATGGAATAAACAGCTTTAATGGAGTTAAACAAATAACAAAGTTAAACAAAGTAGCTCTTACATTAGTTATTTTTTTCCCTTTAACCTAATGACTCCCAGGGCTAGTGAGGTTGTGGTAAAATGATTCACCCCTGACGGAAGTATAAATAGAGGCAAGCTTTGCAAGCCATGATGGCAAACTTTATCAGGAACCCTACAGATAAATGCTCATACTTTCCTTTTTTTTTGTCTTTTTGAGACAGGGTCTTGCTATGTAGTTTAGGCTGGCCTTGAGCTCACTTTGTAGCCCAGGCTGGCCTTGAACTCGCAGTGATCCTCCTGCCTCAGCCTCCTGAGTGCTGGGATTACAGGCATGGGCCACCACACCCAACTAATGCTCATACTTGCAATCCTAAACATTTACTCCTGGAAATTATTTTTAAAAATTGAACAAGAAAAAATGAGGCTAAAGACAATGTCCATTGCACTGGTGTGTGTGTTTTATAATTATAAAATAAAAGAAACAACTTAAATATTAAGTACTAAAGAATCTATTGGATAAATGTGGATCCATTAAATCAGCATACAGTACTGTACAACCTTTTAAAGTAACTAACATGAGGGTGAGATATTATGGAAATGTTTCTGCTAGGACATAAACTATAAGAAACGAGAATACTAGAATACGAACTTACATATTATGTATGTGTGCCTATGGAGATTGTTATACATATGAACAAAAATGAAAGGTAGTATACAAAATGAAAACGTTCTTCTAGTTTAGAGGGACTAGAGACTATTTTTCCCTTTTTAAGAATTTTCTTTAATGCTCATGTTATTTTTATTGTTTAGAAGAATGAGTTAAAACAAAATGATACAGGCAGTCTAAGACTAAAAGGATCTGTGATTTCTTCTCTTTTTTTCCAACATTTATGTGTGCTCTTGGCCTTCATTTTTCCATCTGCACAATGGGTTAACACAAGTTTCCTTTGCTAAAAATGACACAGGACATTTATTTTAGAAACACCTCGTGGAATGCAAGGGTCCATGTAAGTGTGGTCCTGGGAGAGGAGAGAAGGAGAGATGAGAGAGATACGAAGATCATCTGCTGCCATGGGAAATACACGTGTGGTGCGCCCGTAGGGCACTCCATGTTAGTCGGCAGCTTTAATTTAAGGCACTGTATGACCCTTTGGGCTTTGAGGATAGGAAGCCTCTCTACACACACATGAGCTAAAATCACCCTCATCCAGGAAGTGTGCACTCTGAATAATACACACGCTGAGCACCTCTGGCTGACGGGGGAGGACGTGTAAGAGTTTTGCAAAACCTACATGAGAAGGGAATGGCAAGGCACTTGGAAAGGACAGTTTCATTTCCGAGCTTCCCTTCTGACCTGGGCCTTCTCTTTTAGCCGTTACAGCAAGTACACGGGGTCTGATTAACTTGTTTCCTGTGAAAGCTTATTTAGCCCCTCAATCTCATTAAGTCACTTCTGCACTCCAGTGCACAAGCCTTCCCCAGGTTATCAGTCAGGAAGAGCAAAAGGAGACCCCCGGATCGGATTTCTAAAGGAAGGAAAGTTAAAGCGAAGTTTGAAAAGGGTGACAGCCAGCAGCCCTGAGCTCAGGAACTCAATTAGACTGAGAGACAACTGTCTCATTATCTCATTCCGAAATGATCTAAATACATAAGAATCTAAAAGTTTTAAATAAACTTGTCCTAGTGACTGTCTAGATGACTGAATTTCCCTTCTCAAAAATTTTTTAAACACCCACTTTCATATTTATTTATTCGAAGCACAAAGCAGCTGCAATAATTATGCTGTCAGATTCGGTAAGCTAATGAGGAGTCACTAGAGTGGAAGGTTTTGCATTTGTGAGGTTGCTGAAGGGAAGCAGCTCCACGGCTTTTTACTTTCTTTTTCTCCCCCCGCCTTTTTCTTTTTCTAAGTTGGGAAGGAACCTTCCAGTCCTTGGCCAAATTTACTCATCCATATTCTGTCTCTCTCTCCCTCCCCATGCCCCTCTCGCTGTCTCCCTCCCCTCCTTCCCTCCCTCCCTCCCTCCCACCCTTGCTGCCCTTCCCTCTCTCAAACTATTTGCTGCTTTGGCGGGGCAAGGAGGCCAGAGGGGAAATCCCAGCTTTTCGTGCCACTGTCCCCAAGGCAAGTGAAGACTTTTCCCTTAGAGACATCCACAAGGTGGTTTGGGTTTGAGTTGATTTGAAAGTCATCTGTAAATGCTCACACTGTTTACTGTGGCTGTTTAATTGTGCTATGAGTACAAAGACAGTAGGCTGCAAGAGCACAGATCGTAACGGCCCTGTGAAACCGTCTTATGCATACCAACAGGACTTGATGTCTCCCCTTTCCAGCCCTGTAGAGATGTAATTCCAAACCAAGCAAGTTGGGGCCACAAGTTACCCACAGTACCTAAGAAGCCCTGGCCAAACCCATTGCAGGCTTATTTCTTCCATGTGGGTGTAAGCAGCTTCCAGCAAACAATATCATTAAGGCATTTCATGCTTTTGATGAGCCAAACATAGCAGTGTCTCTCTGTGAAACTGTGAGATATTTTGAGCAACACAGGTTTGCACAGATTGTCAGCCTTACGAAAGAAGCGTCCAAGTAGCAGGGTGCCCTGGGCAAGGCCTGTGCGTGTGCGCTTTGGTGACAGCGTGGCTTCTGCTCTGGCTGCTTTCCAGATGCTACGAAGCTAAGGCTTCTAACAATGGCTACTATTTATTTAGATCATACCATATCATACCAGGAGCCACACAGGATATTTTTTGCTTTAAACCTACAACAATCTGCCGGGAAGTTTCATTTGCCCCATTTGCAGATGCTAAAAATGTTACCTTTTGGAGTTCTTTACCCGTAGTTCGAGCTTAGTAAGCACTAGGCACTTTATAAATGGACATTTACAGAAATGTACGCTGCCAGGGTGCCAAGTTCACCAAATCCCTAACTGACAATGATTTAACTTACGATTTTTAAAAACTTTTTGATAGTATGAAAAGCATACACACATTCAGCAGAAACCTTATTATGGATCACCTGTTCCCAAAGATTCCTCAGCTGTGGGTTTATATCAATCATGCAGAACAAAAAATATTCAGAAAAAAATACATTGGCACTAAACGTATACAACTGGTTTTTATCCCATTATTCCCTAAACAGTACAATATACAGCTATTTACATGGCATGTGCATTACATTAAATATCATAGGTAACTAAAGATGGTTTAAAGTGTACAGGAGGCCCTGGGCGTGGTGGCAACACTTGTAATTCCAGCACTGGGGAGGCTGGGGCGGGCAGATGGCTCAAAGTTTGAGATCAGCTTAGACCACATAGTGAGACCCTATCTCAAAACAAGAAAAAGAGAGAGAGAGGGAGAGAGACAGAGACAGAGAGAGACAGAGAGGGAGGAAGGGAGAGAGTGAGGAAGGAAGGAAGGAAGGACAGAAGGAAGGAAGGAAGGAAGGAAGGAAGGAAGGAAGGAAGGAAGGAAGGAAGGAAGGAAGTGTGCATAGGATATGTGCAGATACTCTGTGATTTCATTTAAAGGACTTGAGCATACTTGGATTTGGGCATCTGAAAGGCTCCTCGAACCGAAGGATGACTGTACTTTGAATGTGAATTTTGATCTCATCTCAGAGTAATGACTCTCTTTGTCCCTACTGGGCAGGAACAGAGAGCCATAGCTCGTAGTCAACCTTGCAATCCGGAGGGGAGACAGCTGATGTTCCACACTATACTGTGGACTATATTACTAAGCTCTGATGTTTGGTAGGTTAGCTGCATTAAGAGCATTTTTAAAATTATACTCTTTCTTTCCTTTTCTTTCTTCCTTTTTCAGAAGTAAAGATTTTGTCTAGAGACTTATGCTTTTTTCAGCTTTTAATGAGTTTATTAGAATATAACCCCATACTAAGTCTAGGAGCATCTATATGTGAATCGAAAGTAGACCTGGGTGTGGGGGCACACTCCTGTAGCTCCAGCACTCAGGAAGCTGAGGCAGGAGGATCACTGCAAGCTTGAGATCAGCCTGGGCTACAAAGTGAGCTCAAGGCCAGTCTGAACTGCATAGTGAGACCTTGTTTCAAAAAGACAAAAAAAAAAAAAAAGAATTGAAAGTTATATATATCCCAGCATGAGGTACATTGCCTCCCATTGTGGGGACTACACTCCTGTCACCATCAGCTCCAACCCTTTTTCCAACTTTATATTCTCGTCTGTCCTGTTGTGACCTTGCAAGATTACTTGTGGCTCTTCCAGACACTTCCTTCCTCCATGCCCTTGTTCACACTAACCCCCCAGCCAGGAGTGCCCTCCCCAGAAGTCCTTCACCTTTGAGAACACAGTCCTTCTCTGACACCCACAGGGTGCCTTGCCTGTGCTTCTCTGCGCTCTGCGGAAGCCTCAGGGAGAGGGGTAATCATAATTCTTTGTTTTCACCTCACTTTTGGCCTTTCTGTACCTGTGTGTGTCCCAATTCTGTTACTTTTTTACCGTATCCAATACCTAGCACAGTACTTAGCTTGAGTATTCATTTGGTAAATATGTGCTGAACTCAGCTAAACAGGAAGCAGTTGAGAACTATTAGTAGTTCAGCAAGGTGAGTCACCCATGAGCCAGTATGAATTATTAGTAAATAAGTCTGGCTCATAGTTTGATGTCTTTTAGGGTGACAGATATTAGGATTGACATAAATAATATTCTGCAGAAGATCCCAGGAGATAATATGCTGGTGCTTTTTTCTTGTCCTCCCTGCAGAAGAGTCTTTGTTTACGGTTTCAGGAGTGAGGCTGAAGCCAGAAATGTGTGACCTTCTGGCCTCCTACCGGAAGAGTCACCACCCAGCCCCATTTACCAAATGCTGGTAAAAAGAAGGGTGAGGTCACCGAGCTCCTTCCAGGTAAGTGGTCCCAAAAGTGAGACTACTTATGGACGGGATAGAAACGCTCTAGCTGGCAGGCAGGGAGAGCGCTGCTTTCCAGGTCAGAGCACCTCTGTTCCAGGTCTAGCTGTTCTCCTCCAGTTCTGGGCACAAGTGGCCTCGCTCCTCAGACCCCCATTTTCTAGATGTGAGAAACCAGACGGAACAACCCCCAAAGCCATCAATATTTGACGACCTCAGATGACACATGAACACTTCCCATACACGGCCTTCTGTAGAAGGGTAGTAGTCCGGGTAGAGGAACGAAGGTGGAATCCATGTGCAGGGCCAGCTTAGGTGACTCTGGCTGTATCCCAAGCCACAGACATTCTACTCTGACTCAGCCACCCATTTGTCCACCACAGTGTGGCCGTGCTTCCTCACAGAACTTTCAAGCCTTTGTGGTGGCAGGGGCAAACTCCCTGCACGCACACCCAGTATCACTCACATGGCAGGACCCGGATCTGTGGGTTTCTCTTGCTCTTTCTCGTAGATCTCTATCTTTGTCCCTATTTAAAGGCATATACACATCAAGGATGCCTGCTTTCTGCCTCATCAGCAATGACTGTGACTTCAAAGACCGGGGAAATATAGAATTACAGCTATTCCCCAGAATATTCCCCAAGAATATGTTATGCAATATCTAAGTTTATATTTTGACAATACACAATTGGTACAACACAATAATATGATATTCTCTAAGCAAAACATTTTCTAGAGCGGAGTTTTTGTGGTGTAATTATTGCCATTTCAATCCAACTACTTTTAAGAGAAGAATGAACTTTAGCTCCAGTCTATAAATATAAAGGTTTTCCCATCATAAAATTATCAAGGATACTAACAAAAGTGGTCTCAGGTAATGGTGATTCATAAGTGATATTTCTATGGTTCCTGGGTCTGTTTTGTTTTGTTCGTCCTACTCAGCAGCCAGGAAGTTAGGAGAATCTCGCTTTTCTGGTCTATAGTGATCGCTCACAAAGAATTGTCACCTGTAGACATAAATTGGTCATGAAAGAACAATTAAATGGAGCACGCCGCGCTTGCTGTCTCTGCAGCAATGGAAGGAGGCAGAGGACAGCAGTCAGCCTCCACTGGAGTAATCTTGTGATGTCCCTCGGCCTCACTACTAACATAAGGAGATAAAACCAGTAGGAGACGAAATTGCTAGACAAGAAGGAAATTGCTAGAGCAATCAAACTGTTTAATAAACTTGATATCCACAAAAAAATCTGAGAGTGCTGGAGTTAAAGAGGCTAAAAGCTGTAATCACATGGACACTAGGGGCCTAGAAATCTTTTCTACTGAATTGAATTTATGTTAAAATATTCCATTTTCAGGAGAGTAAAAATGTAAATTGGGGTATTAGGACTTGGTAACTGGCAGCAATTCCTCAAAATTAAGACATTAATAGAACCTCAAAAGTCAGTTTCAAACCAGGCATGATGGGGCATGCCTCTATTCCCAGTACTTGAGAGGCTGAGGCAGGAGGATCACTGTGAGTTTGAGGCCAGGCTGGGGGACATAAGTGAGTTCAAGGCCAGCCTGCACTGCATAGTAAGACCCTGCCTCAAAAAAAAAGTCATTTTTAAGCGTGAGAAGAAATATACACTGATGTCCACAACAGAAATAGAAAAGAGTTAAAATCGTCTGGCTGGATAGCATGTGCTAGATACTGCCATAGGCACTTTTTACATGTTATTTCAAAGCGTGGTATGTTTTGAATAGTGAGCTGTGGCGAGTTATAGCTGTAGTTTGTATATGTGGAGAGAGATTTTACTTATTTATTTATTTATTAAGTGCTGGGCATTGAACATAGGACCTTGTGCATGCTAGATAAGCCCTCAACCAGTGAGTTACACTACCAATCTAGATTTTAAAAATCTTTCTCAGTTCCTGTTACCGGGGGTGAGATACTTCCTCTCTGACGTTCTGTCACCTTTTCTATCAATATGTACCATTCCATGAGCAAGCCTGTTTTTTAAATTCTATTTATGTTTATTGCCTTCCAGGACCACATTCATGCTGCTTCAGTTTTCATTTGCTTCAGCCCACTGAGAAGCTTCTGATCTATCGCCACTGGGACCAGAGGTCATATACTGTCACCTCTCACCTGGAGTATTTTATTTTATTTTATTTTATTTTTTTTTTGGTTTTTCTCCGGTACCGGGAACCAAACTCACGACCTTGCGCTTGCCAGGCAGGCGCTTTTGCCGCTGAGCTAAATCCCCAGCCCCTCTGCTCTGAGTTTTAGAATTTCCTTCCTTTACTAGCTCTGGCTTTAGATTGTTCTTGTTTTATATTTTTAGGACCTCAAGG